GGGGATTGTTTGTAGCTCAGATAATAACTTCTCTCCCACCACATGAGCCTTGTAGATTGAATTTGTCATCATGAGTGTTGGTAAATGTGTTCATTTGATGAGTCATCTCTTGGTCCCTTAAATTTTGAATTATATGCACAAAATTTCATAGTCAATTTTTAAATTTTTTTTGAGACTTTGTATGCTGATGGCTGTCCTGGAATTAGTTCTGTAAACCAGGTTTGCCTTGAATTCACAGAAATCCACATGCTTCTGTCTCCTGAGTGCTGGGATTAAAGATATGTGCCACCACCAGCTGGTAGAATCTTTTAATAAACCATGACAATAGTATTTTCTTACAATGAAATAGAAATTCAAACTTAGATATTTCCTTATGCATTGTTGGTGCTCTAATTTCCAGTTTTTATGGAAACAAACAGGAAAGAGTCACACATAGGATCAAGTATATGTAGGACTGGCAAGCACAGGGTATAAACAGAAGAAGAGGAAGAGGAGAACAGCAAGAGAAAAACACAATGAGGAAGACATCAGGGACCTATCACTCAGCCAGTCACAGAATAAGAGTAAGATTTACATAAGAGAACAGGAAAATACCAGAGGCAAAAAAAAATGGGTGGGAAGATATAAGTTAAGAAAAGCTGGTAAGAAACAAGCCAAGCTAAGGCCCGGCATTAATAACTAATAATAAGACTCCCTAGGTGATTTATTTGGGAGTTTGATGGTGGGCCCCTAAAAAGCCAAAATATCAGAAAATATTTTGCACAACAGTTTCACATTCTGTAATTGTATAAAACAACATAATTTAATGATGACTTAACTTCAGTAACAATAGAAAAGCAAGAACAAAATACCTAGGCTGTTGGTTATAGTAATGATGCTATTATATTCATCATGATTTGAGACAGTTCAAAACTAAGAATGTAATTCCAAACGTGAGTCGTCAAAAGTAATATAATCTGTAAAACAGTAAAATGCATATGAAATTTTTGGTTAAATGTTTTCAATTACATAGAAATTTGATGCTAAAATTAAATGGAAAATTAATACTCTATGCGGTGGCTTGAATGAGAATTTCCCTTATAAGTTCATATAGTTAAATACCTCACTTCTAGTTGGTGGAACTGTTTTGGAAGTATTAGGTGGTCTGACTTTATTGGAAGGATTGCGTTACTGGATGCAGGTTTTCTGAATATAAAAGTCCATGTCATTGCCAGGTAGGTCACTCTTCACATATATATATGGACTAAGAAATATTTGTTTTAGTTCCACTCAACTTCTGAAATTGAGCCTTAAATTAGACAATTTCTTTCCTAAGTTGCCTTGGTCATGGTATTTTATCACAGCAATAGTAAAATAAGAATGTTATTATGTAGGCTGGCATGGTGCTAGAGAAGTGACAGAAAACTACATCCTGATCCACAGTCAGAGAGACAGGGATGCTATGCTTGGTATAGGCTTTTGAAACCTCAAAGTCCAACCCCAGTTTCATATATCCTCCAACAAGGACACAAATTGTAATACTTTTCAAGTAGTACCACTTGCTGATGCCTAAGCATTCAAATATGTGATCTTATAGGGTCTACTCTTATTAAAACTGCTACATTCCACCTGATGGCTCCTATTGACTTGTAACAACATCATAATTCAGAAATAGTATTCAGTACAACCTCAAAAGTCCCCATAGTCTATTACGGTCTTAAAACTGTTTAAAAGTCCAAAGTTCAAATTTTATTCTGAGACCTACGACAATCTCTTAACTGTAAACCCCTATAAAATAAAAATCAAAAAGGGGTCACATACTTTTAACTTACCATGAAACACAAAGGAGGGAAGGGGACGTAAAGAGAAAATGCAGGATCAAAGGAAGACGAAAAATGACGGCAGGGAAAACCTCACATTCTGCATCTCATTTTACAGTCCTGAAGAGGGCATATGAAAAGAAGCTGTAGAGTCTTCCACCATGGTTATGGACAGCCCCCGAGGTCTTGTGCCTATGGTAGGAGAGTATTGGCATGGAGGTCTTTAGAGGTCATTTCATGAAGATGTGAAAATGGAACCTGGATGGCATTGAAAACCCCAGGTTTTTTTTAGGTAAGCAAAATACAGAGAATGGAACCAGATTAAGAGCAGGAAGCAAGCTCCAAGCAGTAAAATAGTAAGTAAGTCACACATGATGCATATTATAATGCTAATAGTAAGATTAAAATTATGTTTTCATGAACTAGAGCAATAATTGTTTCCATCTATACATACAATGTCTGAATAATCATGAAATTAAATAGTCTCTCAAAAGTAATATTTCAGGGAAAGTACAATGTAAAATTAAGCTAACATGGGGATCAGTGAGATGACTCCATGGGTAATGATGCCTTATGTTGAAACTTAGGACTTGAAGTGTGACCCCAGTAGTTGATGTAAAGAAGTTGCAAACTAAGGTATTTTCCTAACTTGAAACATGCACACACACACACACACACACACACACACACACACACACACACACACACACACACACCTTTCTCAGACACATTCGTTTGCCAATAAAACAACCAATGAATAAATAACTGTAAAGGAAATAATGCTGCTTTTCAACAATCTTTTATACTCAATGAATTCCTTTTACTTTATTTACATTAACCAAATGAAAAATGAAATTCTTTCTTTAAAATAAAATTGAAGGCAACGTCTTGCCCAATTACACTGAAATTAGATCAAATCCTCATTTAGACTTTTAACACTTCATATGAGCCTCAAGTTAATTTAAACATTTATTATTGGGTCTGTGAGTACAATTCTGTGCTAAATCTTAAATGTCACTGATAAGTATTATTTACTAGAAATAAAGAAGAAAATTTTAACTACAACACCAAATTATCCAAAGAATTACCTTTTGTAAGCCATTTAAATTTGTACCAAAGAGCCTGACTAACACAAAATCAGACATCATAATAACACATTTAATAAGGCAGATTTGAAAGCATTCAAATCTGATATTTTATATAGATAGGCTCAAAAGTAATGACTTGCTTCCCCAAAGAAAGCTGCTGAAACATCACTGAGGGATATCTCAGCACTGATAGAAATACCTTCTAGGCTTTACATTTTCACATTAAATAATGTTCTACAAAGGAATAGTCAAGCTTATCACAACCATAGTATGAGGAATAAACCAGCCATCCTCAGCTTTTACATTCACTTACTATCTTGTAGAAATTTTCTTTATCTAGAACATTGATTTCTATATTTTTTCTTTAACTTATATCAAACTTTTAGTTTTTAGAGCCACATATTTTCTTGTAAAATATTCAGAGCATTTTTTCCTATTGTTCCTGTAAATTATATTACATAGATTGCCTGTTAAACTGTTTGTAAAATAAAATACCAAGTTTAAGTAGTGAATTGTAGGATACTTATCTGTATAACTGCTATACACACATAAACATATATATATATATTTAAACCTCTTACTATCCTTTGTATTATTTACTTTTTCTGCATAAAATTTATTTTCCCTCTATTTATTTAACTATCTGTCTGCTTGTCTCGTCTGGAGCATTTATAGTGAAAACATAAGAAGATAGCATTCCTGCATTCTGACTAGGGATGTAGGCAATTAAGTCTCCATGCAAGAATCAAATGCCTAGAGAAAAAAATAATCGTATTTTTTCTTAGATAACATTACTTTTACATACCAAGAATGTCTGAAACACTCATGAAGTCTTTTTTCACTCTTCATTTGTAGTTTCAAATGTGGAAATATTTGCACTATCATGTGATTTTTCCCTTCCCCTATAAATTCTTCACCAAACCTTAGTTTTTTTGTCTAAGAGATACTATGAAATTAATAACAGCATTTACTGTCCATTTCTAGGGTTCTAAATATTTTGCTCTGAAATATATCACAGATATTCCATCCTTGTAAATAGCAGCACTAAAATTAGAAGAGTTAGCTAATGTATTCACTGGAACTTTACACCTCATTACCAGTTCTTATAGGCATTTTGACCTACTGTGGTTTTCTACAATGGTCTCTGTATATTGCAAACACTCTCCTTTGATAAGCATCGGAATCTACCTTATGTGTGGATAACATGTTTAGAATTTGTTAGGAATTATGCAAATTTTAGTTAAGTGGTGGTATGAATTTCTTCTGTAAATTCCATGACTTCATTATCCCTGGGTAATTGGCAAGGTTTCCAGGATCAGGCATAATTTCAGTAGAGTCAATTGAAATTCAAGTCCATTCAGATATCTGTTGATTACTGTGAAGATATGAGTGCTAGTATCATACATTTAAGAATATCTTGTCACTGTAGTCATTGTGCTTGTATATGGGTTTGCCAACAGGGTAGAACTATTGGTTATTTCCTCCTTGGCATTTTTTTTTTTTTTTTTCCTATTATAAACTTTACTACTGAAATATGATAGAAATCCTCTTTACTGTCACTGTTGTTATGATGTCCAATTCAGATAAAACGCAGGAATGCTACTGGCAGTCCTTGTTAGTGTCTTCCCACAACACAAGGTCTGTGTCTTTACTACCCAGCCCTTCTCATCAGCAGTCACTGAGAAGGGACCCACTCAGGACAGTCTACGTATAACAAACTATTACATGGTAAGTCCTTCAACAAAGGGGCTTGTACTCCCACCAATGCTCAATCAATTTCTAAGCTATATTAAACACTGGCTTTGTATTATAGTCCTGCATACTTCTTAAATTTGGATGGTCCATTGAAACTAATAACTGAAACAACAATACAAAATGTGATCCCAACAAATTCATTTGTCAGTTTTGCTCTTATGCTATTCAAGTCTGTGATAGCTATGATTTGGTTTCCTGTTGAACTGAAATATTTAGCACCTTGATTTTTAAACACACCAAACACATACTCATCAAAACAATTCTATAAAACACTAGGATTCACTTCCTCCTGTTCATCTCCTCAAGGAGAGGAGTTGGAGAGCATCAAAGTTGCTGGAAATTAACTAGGGCAACTCAACACATTAGCAAACTTTATTCCCTGAAGGTAGGAGGTGCTGTTCTAAGAAGTAGCTGTCACACCACCTCATCAGACTCCAGCCCGTGGATCTCATATAAAGTGTCCAGTATGGCCAGCTGCCTTTCCATAGCAGGGAGGTAAAGGCTGAGGTCCCTCTGCATCCCAGTACTGAAAGCTTCTTTCTGGTGGTCACCTTCTTTTATGGTTAGTGCGGCCACAAAATCTTCGTAAGAGGGGGCTGCCCTCAGTGCCAACGCAAAAACCCCTCGAACTACCCAGCCATGGTGTTGCCGTAATGTTTTGCCATATGCGTTATTCAGTGCTGTCTGGATATCTTTTTCCCCATTTTTCACTTCTGTCAAAAAGCCCTTTAAGAATTTGAGACCTCTCTTCAGCCACAAGAGGGCTTCGGTTGCTGAGTTCCTAACCTGAGCTACACCCGCCTCCACCTCATGCAGCACTATCTTCTGGAGGGTAGTGAACTCTTCCTTGTTGGTTATGTACTTCTGATTTACCTTCTTGATATTTCCAACAAGATCCATTTTCACAGGCGCAAACACTGTAGGACCAAGTTTGTCTAGTACTGGAACCACTGAATAACAAGATGCCAAAAATGCTTCTGTGGGAATGCCACTGTCTTCCAGAAGTTCAATGTCACTAAAGCTGGCACTCATGGCGCTAAAGAAAGTCGGGACAACCTCTTCGTTGTCTTTCCAGACGGACTCTGGTGAGCAGACTGAATTTGATCCAGGTTGTGCCAGCTCACCCTCATGATTCCCCAGGTTTTCCTTTTCATCTGCCTTCAGTGTCTCACCTGTCCCATTATCATCTGTGTTTTCCTCGCTTGACATGCTGCAATCTACCTCTGTGGATTTCAAATACAAGGAACTCTTGGTTTTTATTAGGATTTCTTCATCACCATTTACTTCCATATTTAAAGATCCATTTTCACAACTGTTCAACTCCATCTGCCTTTCCAATGAATTATGAATTGGTATGATAGGATGCTTCATCTTGCTGGACTTAAGCACCGCTAGCTGAGGGGATCCTGGGGGTGTATGGTAGAGTAGCTCAGAGGTGAAGGCTGCATTTGCGATCTGCATGCATTCCTCCAGGGTCTTCAGGAAAGTGTTGCAGGTTGATTTCAGCAGAGTTCCCACATCGATTCCCTCCTCAGAGTCAGCAACACCAGATGTGGCCACTTCTTTTGTTTTATCTACTTGCTGAACAAGGAGATCACAGTACAGCCTTAGTTCTGACATTTTGGTTTTCAAGTTTTCAGTGTTTTCTGCAAATTCTTTTTCCTTTTGGGTTCTACTATCTGTCAGGCAGGCCTTAGCAGACCCCAGGGCCACCAGCCATCGCTGTCTCTCTGCCACACTTCTGGCTTTTAAGTAGAAATACTGTTCCCCAGGGATGATCAGGTCCATGCGAGTGTTATCCACCGAATGAACTTGAATCTCACAGACTGCCATCTGGATGCTCCCTTTACAACCCTTCCAAGCATCTTCAGGAGAATCATAATAGGACAGTATTCCCCCACAAAGAAGGAACCATCGAGGCTGCCAACCGCTCAGGTAGTTGGTCCACTTGTACAGCACGCCCTCCATGGCGCCCGCGGGCCCCTCGCCGCCCCGGCCCGCCGCGGGGACACCCGGACCGGCCTCACATCCCGGGCCCGGGGGCGGGGTCACCGCGACAGCCGAGGAGCACCAGCCTCTGGTCCGGGTTTCTGCGCCTGCGCCAGGCGCGGTCGGTGTGAACCGGGCGGAGCGGCCGGCCGAGCGAGGCGAGGGAGGCGCGGCCCCTCCCTCCTTGGCATTTTTGCACAGCATATTTTTGTTCTACAAAAGTCAGTCCTGAGAGAGTAGGTGCTTGAGTTCAATTTACCTAGAATCCTTTGAGATCCATGCCTCAAATGCATTGTATCTTCTGTAAAAAGGATTTACTTTATATTTTCCTTTTTAAATTCAACTTTAAGTATTATTCAGACTTTTGTTATAATACCAATTTCTCTTAAATGATAACAACAAGCTATTACATAAATACATGGGCTTGTGTATGGTTGCCTTCATTATTAAATATATAAAACTGAAACGTGATGACTCCACCATTTATCTTTTCAATTCTGACCAGTAAATATAATGACATTAAAGGGGATACAGTCACAAGTTTTATAATGTGGTAGATGCTTGTCTTTTAATACTGGTAGTTACTTAAGTTCCAAATGAGATAACTGTAAGCTTTTCTTTTGGAGGAAGGTTAAGTCAAATCCAATTTACTTTTCCCTCACTAATTTGGTTCTTAGGTATATCAACTGTTATTTGAACATAAAGATATTTTCTATGCCATATTGTTATGAAGACTGAGGTAATCTACATGAAAAATTACCTCCAGGCAAAGGTATTCAGTTGGTTTTGAAACAAGAGCACATTATCATTAGCAATGATATAATGTGCTGAACTTAATGCTTATTTGAAGTATCTGAAAGCTGCAGATTTGTTAGTATTCATTTGGGAAATACAGTCACACTGAACCTCTTAGAAGAGAAAGTGGGAAGTACTCTTGAACGAATTGGTACGGGAGACCACTTCATGCACAAAGCAGCATTAACACAGACACTGAGATCAACAACTAATAAATGGGACTCCTGAAACTAAGAAACTTCTGGATGGCGAAGGGTACAGTCAGCAAGACAAAACGACAGTCCACAGAATGGGAAAAGATCTTCACTAATCCTACATCTGACAGAGGACTGACTTTCAAAATACACAAATAACTCAAGAAACTAGGCCCCCAAAACAACAAATAATCCAATTAAAAAATGGGGGTACAAAACTTAATAGAGAATTCTCAATAGAGTACTCTAAAATGGCTGAGAGAAACAATTGCTCAACATCCTTATCCATTAGGGATATGTAAATCAAAACAACTCTGAGATAACATCTCATTCCTCCCAGAAGGGCTAAAATGAAAAACACCAATGACAGTTTATGCTGGAGAGTATGTAGAGAATGGGGAACATTCTCCCACTGCTGGGAGACACTTTGGAAATTAGTATGGTGGTTTCTCAGGAAAATGGGAATCAGTCTACCAAAGATCCAGCAATTCCACTCTTAGGCATATACCCAATGGATGCACATTCATACACCTAGGACATCTGCTCAATTATGTTCATAGCAGCATTATTTGTAATAGCCGGAACCTGGAAGCAACCTTTAACTGAAGAATGAATAACCTTTAACTGAAGAATGAATAAAGAAAATGAGGTACATTAACACGATGAAGTACTACTCAGCAGAAAAAAAGATCAATGAAATCTTGAAATTCATAGGAAAATGGAAGGAACCAGAGGAAACCTTCCTGATTGTGGTAATCCAGTCAGAGAAAGACAAACATGTGAAGTTCTCACTCATATATAGATATTAGACATAAAGGAAAGATTGCCAACTTATAATCCACACCTCCAGAGAAGCTAGGAAACAAGTAGGATTCTAAAGAAGACATCCATAGTCTTCGGGGAAGAGGGAAGGGATAAGATCACCTGAGTAAACTGGGAGAATGGAGCGGGGAGGGAGAGAGAAAACTGGCATTTATATGTAACAATATTGTTTATAATTTAAATAAAAACTTATAAAAATGATACAAATAATAGGTACAAGATACCATCTTGTAATCCATCATTGCATTTCTCTGTTAAGTTTACCTATTTTTCATTAGAGCTGTTGACTTCCTGTTTTAAAATTTAATTTAATTAGTAACATCTTACTTCAAACTCCCTACCATTCTCTCATATCCCCCTCCAATTCCCCATCCACTCCCCGGGGAGGGTGAGGCCGTACATGAGGGATTATCAAAATCTGTGAAGTCATTTGGGGCAGGCCTAGGCCCTCCCCTCTGTATCTAGGCTAAGAGAGTATCCCTCCATGGGAAATGGGTCCCTAAAATCTGTTCATGCACTGGGGATACATTCTGGTTACATTGTCAGAGGCCACATAGACTGTCCCGTGCTTCTAAGCTGACACACTTTGTTGGTTCCCCAGCTATCAGACTTCGGTTCATGAGTTCCCACTCGCTCAGGTCATCTCTTTCTGTGGGTTTTCCTAGCGTGTTCTTGACCCCCTTGTTGGTCATTCCTCCCTCTCTGAATCTGGATTCCAAGAGTTTGGCTCAGTGCCTTGCTGTGCATCTCTGCTTCTGCTTCCATCAGTTACTGGATGAAGGTTCTAGGATGGCATTTAGGTGATCCTCAATCTCATTATAGGAAAGGGCATTTAAGGTAGCCTTCCAGTATAGCCTAGGTTCCTTGTCGATCTCTGGACATTTCCCTAGTGCCAGATTTCTCTTTAAACGTATAGTGGCTCCCAATATTGATTTGTCTCTTTTCTTGCTCTCCTCTATTCCTCTGGCCACTCAGTCTTCCTGATCCCTCATGTTCTCCTTCCCCCTCCTCTTCTCATTTCCTCTTTCTCATTTATCACTCCCCTTGCTCCCCAAGCTACCAATTTTTTCAGGGGCTTTTGTCTTTTCTGCTTCATTTGCAGGTCTTGTATGTCTCTCTAATGGTCCTCCTTGGTTCCTAGTGAAGTGTAGGCTAGTATTTCTAATATCCATATATCAGTGAGTACATACAATGTTTGTCTTTTTTGACTGTGTTACCCACTTAGGATGTTTTCTTCTAGTTCTATCCATTTGCCTGCAAATTTCAATATTCCACTGATTATTTTTCCATTGAGTAGTACACCATTGTGTTAATGTACCACATTTTCTGTACCAATCTTCGGTTGAAGGGCATCTTGGTTGCTTCCAGGTTCTGACTTTTACAAATAATGCTGCTACACATATAGTTGACCAGATGTCCTTGTTTTATGGATGTGCATCCTTTGGGTATATACCTAAGAGTGGAATTGCTGGATCCTGAGGTATATTTATTGCCATTTTCCTGAGAAACCACCATACTAATTTCTAAAGTGGCTGTACATGTTGGCATTCTCACTAACATTGGAGGGATGTTCCCCTTTTCTACATGCTCTCAAAAATAAGCTGTCATTGGTGGTTTTGATTTTAGCCATTCTAAAGGGTGTATGATGGTATCTCAGAATTGTTTTGATTTGCATTTCTCTGAGCTAAGGATGTTGAGCAATTTCTTAAGTGTTTTTCAGCCATGTTATATTCCTCTTTTGAGAACTCTCTGTTTAGTTATGTACCCCACTTTTAATTTGAATCATTTAGTGTTTTGTCAACTGGCTTTTTGAGTTCTTTGCATATTTTGGAGATCAGTCCTCTCTCTGATGCGGGGTTGGTGAAAATCTTTTCCCATTCTGTGGGCGACCATTTTGTTTAGTTGATAATATGTTTTGCCTTACAAAAGCGTCCCAGTTTCAGGAGTTCCCATTTATTAATTGTCTATCTCAGTGTCTATGCTACTGGCATTATCTTCAGGAAGTGTTCTCCTGTGACTATTCATTTAAGGGTACCTCTTACTTTTTCTTTGAAGAGATTCAGTGTGGCTGGATTAATGTTGAGGTCTTTGATCCATTTAGACTTAGGTTTTGTGCATGGCAATAGATATGAATGTATCTTCCTTTTTACTCATATCCTTTCATGATAGATTAAAAGGAACATCTGCACAATTTATACCAGTCACAACCTCGGTGTATGTGGAGCCACATACATTGTCTGTTTTGACTTCCCATGAATCCCTTAAAAAAATCCCTGCTATTGTCTGCCTCCAGTCTTACACAGTTTTGTACTTTATTTGGTTGCTTGAGACACTTCTTTATTTTCAAGTTAATTCTTTTTGTTAACCTGTTTTGTTATTTAAATTAGAAACAAACTTGCTTCAATCCCAGCTCCTTCTCACTCTCATCCTCCCTATCCCTTAGTCCTCACAACCCCCACACACAATCCCAATTCTACTATCCTGGGAGTGTAAGGCCCTTCATGTGGGATCTCCAAAGTCTGTCAAATCATCTGTGTGCATGGGCTATGCCCTCCCCCATGTGTCCAGGCTGAGAGAGCATCCCTCCATTTGGCATGGGCTCCCAAAGTCCATTTGGATGCCAGGGATAAATACTGATCTATTGCCGGAGGCCCAAAGAATGCCAAGACCGCTCTTTCTCCCAGCTCCATCTTGCCTCCTCCCCTACTTCCATTCCCCTTAAGAAATCCTCTCCCATTCCCCTTTTCTGGGGTACCCTATATATCTCTCTTAGAGTGCTCCCTGTTTCCCAGACAGGGTTTGTAGACCAACACTCCCCTGTTTCATGTCCAATATCCATATATGAGTGAGTACATACTATGTTTGTCTTATTGTGACTGGGTTACCTCAATTAGGATGGTTTCTTCTAGTGTCATCCATTTGCCTGCAGATTTCAGGATTCCATTGGTTTTTTTTCCCACTAAGTAGTACTCTGTTGTGTAAATGTACCACATTTTCTCTCTCCACTCTTCAGTTGAGAGGCATCTAGGTTTGTTCCAGTTTCTGGCTATTAAAATAATGCTGCTATGCACATAGTGGAACAGATGTCCTTCTTGTATGAATAAGCATCTTTGGGTATATGCCTGAGAGCAGAACTGCTGAATCTTGTGGTAGACTGATTTCCATTTTCCTAAAGTATCTCCATTCTGATTTCCAAACTGGGTGTCCGAGTTGGCACTCCCACCAGCAGTGAAGGAATGTTCCCCACTCTCCACATCTTCTCCAGCATAAACTCTTATTGTTTTTATTTTATTTTATCCATTCTCACAGGATTGAGATGGTATCTCAGAGAAGTTAAGATGAGCTGTCATATGATC